GCTGAAGGGAGCAGCATTTCAGCTAGACAGGAGGAGGAAGTTAGGAGGTCTCATGTTCCACATGGCGGCCACAGTTAACGGTTTGTGGACTGGAAAACTGCCGAGCGAGGAGATCCTGAACATCTCACAACACAGGAAGACGATAAGGACGGGGCGCAGAGGCGTCTGTCAGCTTTGTTCCCCCATCTTACAACGTGCGCCTGCACCAAAACACGTACACCAGAAACGCACACAATGCTTATCTCCGAATGTAACTTAATAAAGCTAGAAAAAACATTTTTAAAGTGAAAAAAAAGGGTTTCTTCCACTTAAAAAAAGTATCAGGTAGAAAACTTTCAAAGCTGACAACAGTGAAGTCCGTCCTGAGACAAATACGTCAGATGGGAGTGGGCACGGGCATTTTTAAACGTCCCCCAAGTGATCCTGATTGACAGAGAACCAGGGTGAGGATCTGATATTTCCACGAAGGGGCCAGAAGAACTCGTTGGAAGCAGCGCGTCCGTCTCCCTCATGAGCTGAGCCTCTGCGTGAATCCCGTGGGGCGCCCGTCTGCGCAGGCTGCTTCCTGCTGCTTTGGCCCACTAGACAGCTACAGCGGCTCCTCCCTCTGCTCCCGAGTCCCCCACCCACACACTGCCCCTCGAGGGGAAAGCCATGCATGTTTTGAGCCAGGCAGCCTCTCAGCCAACCATCACCAAATCCTCTCATTTCCTTCCTTCCAAAGCTTCTAACATCTGACCCTTCTCATTCTTAAACCGCCACCCCCTGCCCAATGGCAAGACTGTAGAGACGGTTTAGGAAGCACCCCCATCCCTAAGCAGTGTGGAGGCGCCTCATAACGAGGACGCGTCAGTTCACCACAGGATCCCCAATTCCACCTCTGGACATTTACCCAAATGAGCCGAAAGCAGCGACGTGGAGAGAGCCGCGTGCCGTGTTTATGGCAGCGTCATTCACCACGGCCCGCGAAGCGACCCAGGGGTCTATCCAGGGATGCACGGAAGCCAGTGCAGTGCACCCACACAGGCGTGACTCAGCCTTCAACAGAGCGGCCATGTGGAGTCACTAGAAGACACTCTGCCATGTGACACGAGCCAGCCACACAAGGACAAATCTGGTGTGGTTCCACCGCTGGGAAGTCTGTAGAGGAGTCAGATTCACAGAGGCAGAAGCAGAAGGGGGTGCCAGGGCCTGGGGAACAGAATGGGAGCGAGTGTTTAATGGGACAGGATTTTACTTGCACAAGAGAGAAACGTTCTAGACGGAGGTGCTGGCGTCTGTACAGCAACGTGAATGCATTTAATGCTGACAAACTGCACACTTACAAAGGCTACGCTGACAAAATGCTTTCTGTGCCTGCCCTGCAGCCTGCACCAAGCCTCCATGTGGCATTCTGCCTCCTCTGCCCTGGCCTCACCCCTCGAAGTTCACTCCGTGTGGCTGTGGAAAACTTGAGCTCCCAACCTGGGAGTCCAGGGTCAGAACCCGGGCAAAGCGGCCTCCTCAGAGTGACTCTCATTTCATTTCTGTGCCCACTGCTCTGGCCTCCAGGTTCTTCCCACGGTGCCTGTGCCCATGCAGAGCCACCCAGGAACCTCGCGCTGCCCCGGCGACAGCCCCTGGACATGGTCACTGCCATGGAAAAGAACCACAGTTGTGGCAGGGTCACAACTGTGACGCTGACATTGTCCAGACACAGGGCAGCATGCGGCCGAGCCACCTCCAAAGCCTCAAGCAAGCAAGCGCCAAATGAGCGTGTGCATCTGGAGGCCTTCCCAGGCGGGCGGGACGCTGAAGATTCATTGTGATGGAGTCTTGCCAGAGTGAGGGTCAGAAAACAGATGCATCATTACTCACACACCATCGCCATGGCTCCTCCCCGGTGAGAAGTCAAAATACTCTCACTCGCCTATCTCCGAGTGAAGACGGCTTGTGTGGAATGGCAGCTGGCAGTGAAATTAGGCCTCGGTCGCAGTGGACGGCGCTGTCCTCCGTCAGAACTCTACCCATCTTTATGATCTTCAGTTGAACAGGAAACATTCTTTGGCTGTAGTTTTCTTTACCAGAAATCAGAACTTCACACGAAGTGAACTTCCGTTTTCAGTACTATTCCTGAGGCCGCTCAAACCAGCAACACATGCATTGGCTGAAAGTTTGAAGCATGTTTTTTAAAAATGCAAATTTGTATAAATTGAACTCACGATCTGTGACCCAGCCCTGAGTGCCATCACCGCAGACGCCCTCGGTGGCTTGAGAAAGAGGCTGACAATCTTCCAGGCTAGAGAATAACCACAGAGAGCAAAGTGCCAGAGCCACTGACCGGCGTCCGTCTTCAGCTGAGGTTTCACATTGATTCTAGTCACCCGTGTGATGTTGAATGTGTTCACCGCTTCACGTCTCTAGCGGATCACGTTGATTCTACTCACCCGTGTGATGCTGAATGTGTTCACCGCTTCACGTCTCTAGTGGATCACGTTGATTCTATTCACCCGTGTGATGTTGAATGTGTTCACCGCTTCACGTCTCTAGCGGATCACGTTGATTCTACTCAACCGTGTGATGCTGAATGTGTTCACCGCTTCACGTCTCTAGCGGATCACGTTGATTCTATTCACCCGTGTGATGCTGAATGTGTTCACCGCTTCACGTCTCTAGCGGATCACGTTGATTCTATTCACCCGTGTGATGTTGAATGTGTTCACCGCTTCACGTCTCTAGCGGATCACGTTGATTCTAGTCACCCGTGTGATGTTGAATGTGTTCACCGCTTCACGTCTCTAGTGGATCACGTTGATTCTATTCACCCGTGTGATGTTGAATGTGTTCACCGCTTCACGTCTCTAGCGGATCACGTTGATTCTAGTCACCCGTGTGATGTTGAATGTGTTCACCGCTTCACGTCTCTAGTGGATCACGTTGATTCTATTCACCCGTGTGATGTTGAATGTGTTCACCGCTTCACGTCTCTAGCGAACCACGTTGATTCTACTCACCCGTGTGATGTTGAATGTGTTCACCGCTTCACGTCTCTAGCGGATCACATTGATTCTATTCACCCGTGTGATGTTGAATGTGTTCACCGCTTCACGTCTCTAGTGGATCACGTTGATTCTAGTCACCCGTGTGATGTTGAATGTGTTCACCGCTTCACGTCTCTAGCGGATCACGTTGATTCTAGTCACCCGTGTGATGTTGAATGTGTTCACCGCTTCACGTCTCTAGTGGATCACGTTGATTCTATTCACCCGTGTGATGTTGAATGTGTTCACCGCTTCACGTCTCTAGCGGATCACGTTGATTCTAGTCACCCGTGTGATGTTGAATGTGTTCACCGCTTCACGTCTCTAGTGGATCACGTTGATTCTATTCACCCGTGTGATGTTGAATGTGTTCACCGCTTCACGTCTCTAGCGAACCACGTTGATTCTACTCACCCGTGTGATGTTGAATGTGTTCACCGCTTCACGTCTCTAGCGGATCACTTTGATTCTATTCACCCGTGTGATGTTGAATGTGTTCACCGCTTCACGTCTCTAGTGGATCACGTTGATTCTAGTCACCCGTGTGATGTTGAATGTGTTCACCGCTTCACGTCTCTAGCGGATCACGTTGATTCTAGTCACCCGTGTGATGCTGAATGTGTTCACCGCTTCACGTCTCTAGCGGATCACATTGATTCTATTCACCCGTGTGATGTTGAATGTGTTCACCGCTTCATGTCTCTAGCTGATCACGTTGATTCTACTCACCCGTGTGATGTTGAATGTGTTCACCGCTTCACGTCTCTAGCGGATCACATTGATTCTATTCACCCGTGTGATGTTGAATGTGTTCACCGCTTCACGTCTCTAGCTGATCACGTTGATTCTACTCAACCGTGTGATGCTGAATGTGTTCACCGCTTCACGTCTCTAGCGAACCACGTTGATTCTATTCACCCGTGTGATGTTGAATGTGTTCACCGCTTCATGTCTCTAGCGGATCACATTGATTCTATTCACCCGTGTGATGTTGAATGTGTTCACCGCTTCACGTCTCTAGCGGATCACGTTGATTCTATTCACCCGTGTGATGTTGAATGTGTTCACCGCTTCACGTCTCTAGTGGATCACGTTGATTCTATTCACCCGTGTGATGTTGAATGTGTTCACCGCTTCACGTCTCTAGCTGATCACGTTGATTCTACTCAACCGTGTGATGCTGAATGTGTTCACCGCTTCACGTCTCTAGCGAACCACGTTGATTCTATTCACCCGTGTGATGTTGAATGTGTTCACCGCTTCACGTCTCTAGCGGATCACATTGATTCTATTCACCCGTGTGATGTTGAATGTGTTCACCGCTTCACGTCTCTAGCGGATCACGTTGATTCTATTCACCCGTGTGATGTTGAATGTGTTCACCGCTTCACGTCTCTAGCGGAAGCATTCGGCCTTCTTGTGAGCATAGCCCCACCTCAGAAGACAGATGGCGAATACGGCACCAGCTTTCCTGTGTCGGTGGCAGCTCAGAAACGAAATTCCCATGTGAATTTAACCAGCACTGGGGAAACTACACCACATGGGCCGTCCCAGGGCCCTTGGAGGAAGCGCAGCTCGTGCTCAGCACCCGCCCGCGGTGTGTGTAGCTGCTGCTTCCTGCCAGGTAAGGGCTACGTGAGAAGCGCAGATGCGGGAGCTCCCTGCTTCCTGAGGCTGCTTCGAATATGTAGTCACAGAGGCGCGAGGAAGGAGGGTCCTTCACCTCTGGACACGTGTATCGATTATGTGAGTGGCGGCCTCCGTTCCTGAGGGCCAGGAACAGCCCTTCCCCATCTAGCACTTAGCAGTGTTTAAAAACTATTATTTTTGGAAAAAGGTGCCCCATTTTACGTAGTTCTTAGCTTACTCTCTAAAGGCAAACATGCTAACATGTGACGGTGGGAAGGCCCCATGATGGGAGGTGCCTGGGGTGTGCGGGGTTCTGTCAGCCCCACAGCAGGGCTGACGTCTGTACTGTACCTAGATCCTCCTCTGCCGGCCCCGGAAAGCTGATGCCCGGCTGGACCAGGTCTCCAGCTTCTTCCTCTGCAAAGACAGAAACAAAGTCACTCATTAATGCATGTCTGGTGTAGACTGTAGTCACCCCCAGCACATCTTCAAAACCCGCCACACTCAACACAGCTCAAACATGACAGACAACTTCGTATTTCCTCAAATGTCACTGCTCACAGCCCGGCGTTTTCTGCCAATAACTTCAGGAACGAACATCATTTTCTGTAAAACAGCGCTGTGATCACAGACGCACACGTTTCTCCCACAGACACGGACATGGGCCGTGGGTCCCAACGATTCTCAGCGTCACCTTTGGCCTGACTTCAAATTTATGAGGTCTTATTTGCATTGGAGCAGACGTCAGTAAAATCAGCCCACTCTTATTTTCCCCAGTTCTTTCCAGCTGGGTGAGCCCCACGAAGGCCCTGGTTCGCCCATGATAAAGACTTCCCTTACTGTCTAGAAAGCTTCATGCTATTCGAAGCCTCATTTTGCAATGTTCAAAGCCTGCAGTTATGGTCTTAGTGCTTAATATTAGTTCATATTAGGTCCACTCTGACCAGACCACAGATTCCATTTCCCTCTGTTGGGAGACCTTTCAGGTCACTGGCATTGATTTTCCACTGCTCACTCTGCTGACACAAAAGCAGACATCACTTTCTTAGAATGACATCACCACGTGGCTGCCAGAGGTCAGGGGGTCATCGAGCTCTGTCCTCCCTCCATGTGTGGGGCCACAGGACTGTGGAGACAAACACACTTGTGATTTTATCTAACTCATCCCTGGGGAGCTGGACGGAGGATCATCCAGTGCCTCTCCTCCTATGGGCTCTGCCCAGGAAACCAGGTGCCGACTCTTCAGGCTGCCTTGCTTTCTACCTGGCTGCAAAGGCAGTGTAGACATAGCAACATCCCAGGGAGGCTCTGCTCATGCCAGCCACAGTGAGAGGCGTGGGAGTGGCCTGAGGAGGCGGGCAGGGAGTGTCAGGTGAGGGAGCATTTGGCACCAGGTTCCATGTGCATGTGAACATGTTATTTATGGGAAATGTATCAGAAGGATGACACATGCATGTACACACACAGACACACATCTTTGTCACCATTTGGCACATATCTCAAACATATAATTATATGATTGTATATTCAGACTCCAGGCATATATTTGCACACACATGTGGGTTTCCAATGTTCATGGACAGGCTTTGAGGCACATCTCACATGTGCCCCCACCCCCTACCCAAGTGTTAGATGAAGTTAGCCAGGCTGTAGCCTGCAAAAGGATTAACTCCAGGACACGATGCTGGAGCCATCGACACTGGAATCACGACCTCTGATTTGGCAAATCAGCATCTGCCATTTTCTACAAGTTGGTAGGAGGCTGGGAAAGGAAGATGAAGATTTGGCAAAGTGAGATGCTGAGGAAGAGAATATGATGGCCTCTCAAATAAATGTGAAGTAAGACCAGTAACTGGAAGTCATCTCCCGGTTACTGCTTTTAAATATATGTATGTGTATGAGAAGCAGCTATCTGAACTTGTTTAAGTATTTTACAAGACAGTGCATTCAAATGAGTTAACATAACTCAGCCCCATTTCTTCAAGGCGAACAGCACTTTCTGCATACTTTCAGTTGCATTTTCAGCTAATAAGATACATCTGCCAAATGACCACATTATGTATAATATGAAACCAAAGGCTGGAATGGCCTCATTCATGTAGAAAGATGACAGACAGTTCTAATTAAGCACAGTTTCCATGGAGATCATCGTCACATGTGTGATTAATGTGAGAACAGAGCATCCAGCTGGGTGAGAATGGAATTTGGAGATAATGCAAAACAATGAACCCTCAGCTTCAGCCCTCCTTATGCTGGAGTTTCAACACACACACACACACACACTCTCACAGACACACACAGACACAGCCACACACACAGCCACACACACAGACACAGACACACACAGACACACACAGACACACACACAGACACACACAGACACACACACAGACACAGACACACACAAACACATACACACACAAACACACACAGACACATACACACTCACAGACACACACAGACACACACACAGACACACACAAACACATACACACACAGACACAGAAACACGCACAGACACAGACACACACAGACACACACAAACATATACACACAGACACACACACACAAACACATACACACACAAACACACAGACACACAGACACAGAAACACGCACAGACACACACACACAGACACACACACAGAGACACACAAACACATACACACACACAGAGACACACACAGACACACACACACACAGGTAAGGCAGGTGCTCTCACAGGCAGACTGGAATGATAAGCCAGAACCACACAGCTGCAGTGACAAGTAGGAGCGCTCCTCTAACAACGCCAGCAGCAGCAGACATGGAGTTTAGCAAAGCCACGTGCTCATGCACAGCACAAGCTTCTTATCGGAAGCCTGCACTTTCCTCAAGGAAGACGCCTAATTATCTCGAGAACAGCCCTCCAAGGATAAGGAGTGGTGACGTTTGAAGGTCAGCCTTGAATTTTAGGAGTACAAATGCTTCACTGACTCATCTCTTCCTGCCCTTGGTATTTATCAGCTGAGAAAACGGGAGGTGTGGAAGCCGTGTGGCTCTGGCAACACCATTCAGAGTTAAAAATCCAGCCCGGGCTGAGGGTACATGAAGGTTTCTGAGTATGGTGTGGCCTTCTAGCTGGGAGAGCTTAATTCAGCATGTGTGTCAGGATACCTGTGGTTCCCATCCTTCCTTGTCTCAGGAAGCTTTGTGTTTTCAGCCTAAATCTTGTACGGACAACACCCCCACATCTCAGGGGTTCCCTTCCTGTGGCTTCAGTCACCTGAGGTGTGGAGTGAGCAATTGAGAGAGAAATAGAGATCACATTCGCATTCCTCCTATTACAGTACATGGTCTCAGTGCTGACTGCATTACGGTCACTCGGGTCACTCTCTCAGTGTGCATGACGCCTAAGCTGAGCTTTGTCATGGGTGCGTGGGCACAGGGAACGTCACACTCGGGCTTTCTTTCTGTCTCGCCCAAAGTGCCATCTAACAGTCATGCCCTACAAATTGTGGCACCTCATTAAAGGGGTTTTCTTTACCCTACAGCACGTGGCTCACTTTCCAAACTGACGCTGGCACCACATCACGCGGCAGATAAAGAAGGAAATCAAAACATTTTAATCCCAAATGTCTGGGTTTTATTTATTTATTTTTTGGACGTATCTTGAAATTGTCCGGCAAAGCCGACTCTTGCAGGGAAAATTCTACATTCCGAAGAGAATTCCCTTCCTTCTTCCTTCTTCCAGACCCAGGAGGGAACTGACTGTGAGAAGAAGCACTTGCCGCCCATTCTCTCTGCAGCTGCCTGGAGGCCTCCTCTGCACAGTGGGAACCGGGCCTCCATGACCCTTATCTTCACCCAGACATGCTTTCTATGGATTCTAGGTCTTTAGAGAATAATTTACCTCTTTCGGCCAATGTTCAGTCCGAAAATGTTTGAGTCCATCTGTGACTCCGACGACAGTAGGAAAGATCTACCTACAAGCATTTGTTCTGGCTGAGGTTTCAGGCAATGCCAGGGCCCTGGGGACACATCCCCTGCGGACAGAGGAGTCTGCCATACCTCTGCCACCTTCCTACCCACAGTCTGGCGGCCTCGTGAGGCAAGCACCCCGTTGGTGGGTAGCGCATGCTGCTGTCTTCCTCACATCTGTGAGGAAGCAGCGTGGGACAGCGTGGAAGAAACGTGTAGGAGGAGTAAGCCTCTTAAATTAAGTGATCATCTCAGCGACCTCAGAAATGCCCTTATCTGTGCTTAAAGAGACACAGAACATTCATTCTTTCCATCCATCTCTCCCTCCCAGCTGCCTTGTACGAGGCAGGAGAACCGTTTGCTCTGCCAGCCGTCAGAAGGACGGGCAGCATGGCCGAGGAAGCCAGCTTTGGTGGCGGTCATAGAGCTACAGTGCCGTCTGCACCCTGAGATGTTCTGAAATCATGTGACCATACGCTTCCTCGATCTAGCATCTTTATTTCCTGTGGTCCAAACTGAATAGCTCCCCAGGGAGAGGCTGGAGGCCCTCCCATCCCAGGTGTGAGGCTGACGGATGCTGCAAAACTGACAGTGCCCACCTCTGATGTCACGCTCACACGTCCATCGCCAAAACAGAGCTGGGCCTTCGACTGAGGGATGCTGAAAATCATCCATTCTCACACGGAAATGCACGTCTGCATTCTCTAGAGAAACACCGTCTTTCACCAAGGCAACCTGGGGCGGGGGGGCTTCCACTTCAGCTTGTCACTTAGGTCCCTTCTGGCAGGATGTGTTTTATGAGTCATCTTTCTTTCCTGCTGGAGCTCGATGATGGCAGTGCCCCCTCACATGTGACCCGGAGGCCCCGTAAACCTTCCCTGGGGAGCTGCAATGAGGTGGTCTTGCAATTCTGTGCCCTGGCACTTCCTCCGAGTCAACATCCAGCTCTCCTCTGGCCGCAGACCTCTGGCCACAGCAGTGGGCATGTGGATGGCGTGTGCGGTGCCCGTGGTGCTACCTGGAGAGCGCAGACTGCCCTGACTAAACACAACACAGGCGCCCTTTCTAACGCCTCTGAAATCACCTCAAGCTTCAGAGAAATGGCCACCCTGCTCTCCTGTGGCCCAGAGGGTTCTGGATGGATCTGAGAGGGTCTGTGACAGCCCTCAATAAAAACACAGGGTGCCGCAATCACCATGTGGCACACGCCACACTTGCCTTCCCTTGCTTAGCGAAGAGTCGTCTCCATGTCACAAGCTCCTCACGCTTCCTGGAAGGCAGACTCAGGCAATGCACCATGAGAAAGGAAGGAAGTGCTATGCTTCCCAGAACCCGTCCTCGGAGCCCGGCCCAGGAGGCTGCATCATTGACACTTTACAGGCAGGAAATCAGCATCAGAGAGGTGAAGCGCATCCTCCAAGGAGAGACGCACAGACAGACCCGCGGGTTCCAGCCCC